AGCGTGTTGCTCGCTCCGCTCGATGACGCCGCAGTATGCGACGGGAGCGTGGATAGAACGTCCAGGAGCTTGGGCTCAAGGACGTCTGCCAAGCGACGCCACATGTCATGGTGAACCTCAGCAGCGGTCGCCAGATGGCGCACACCAAGCGAGTTGTTGGCGTCGGCGACAACTCCCTGGACATACATAAGGTCGTCCTTGGTGACAGTCGTGTCAATAAGGAGAGCAAAGAGGCACGCATCCTCTTTGTACATGTACGCAACCTGTTTGTACGCTGCCTGGGTGGCGATGTCGCACAGCTGTTGGATCCAAGGGATATCCTCGTTGTTGATCTTGAGCTCTGCCAGACATCGTCCACAATCCCCACCATCGCAACGAGCGAAAGGGAGGACGACATATCGGACGTCTGAGACATGACGCACGAGTTGTTGATCGTGAGGAGGAGTACCTCCACAGCGTCATGTACCTCGTCCCACTCGCTCGCGGTCAACTTGCCACAAGGCCGAAGAACGGGGGCATGCTGCGTGTGAGAGGGCTGCCTCCGTCCTCATCACCATCTTAGTCATTGACGTTTGACTGACTAACTAATGACTAAATCTTTTGACTACGAATGACTATGACTATCGTCGTTCCGTACACTGTAATCAATGGTATTCGATAAAATGTGGAGAGATGGGAGGGAGAGGGAGAGGGTTTGGGGGAGGGGGGGGATGGTCATGGATCACGCCAGATTGGAGCAAGGGGAACACATATATGTGCATTGGGTATGAGGGTGGGTACGGTGCTTGATGAGGGGAAGGTCGGATTGGGGTTGTTAGGTTCCAGGAAGTGTACAGGTGGTGGGAATGAACGGTCACGGCGGTGAGAGGGTGCCCATCGGCTGCGACAAGACACGGTCGAGGGTCGAGACGACAAGGTCGATCGGCGGAAAGACGTTGTGCACGCACCAGATGGAGAAAACATGGCCGATGGCCTGCTCTTCGTGGCAGATGCTTACGTTGAACGGCTCGTACGGCCGCCAGGTCTCGTCGATGTGCAGCGGAATCTTGTTGAACCACATGTCGTTGTCGTCGCCATTGAGCGAGATGACGCCCTCGCCAAACGAGAGCGGGCCAAACTCCCAGAGCATCAACAGGCTTGATGCCCGCCGCATGAAAAGCGTGTTGACCATCGCCGCGCCCGTGGTGATAACCACCACCCGCGAGTTGTAAAACGGGAGCAGCTGTGCCTTCAGATCAAGGCTACCTATCTCCACAATTTCAAAGCTGTGCTTGTGGTGGAGCGAGATGGCTCGGACCTCCTCCACAAACTCGACCCACGGCTCGATGTGCTTGTTCGGCACCCCGCGTCGCGAGATGAGCGTCACTTTCGGTACCATCGGCAGTAGCTCGTCGCTGTACGCTCCAAACCCTCGGGTCAGCACCATTCGTCGCATCGCCCGGATGGTGTACGCCAGGTCGCGCCGCGCAGACGGCAACGTCTGCCCAAAAAACAGCGGCTTGGGCACAGCCCTTTCCATGTTCCAGGGATAGATGTCTGGAACGCCCGCCGCCACATGCCGGACGCAAACCGTGCCGCGGTTCTGCGTATCGAGCTCGTGCGTCGAGAGCGGAAGCCCGTCCCGCCCGGCGCCGTCCCACATCAGGCCGATCATCTCCGACCTGGTCAGCGACCGGAACAGATTCGTCTGATTCGTCTGGTGGAACGGCGTCTCGGGGCTGCCGTAGCTGTAGAGGAGCGTAGGACGGAGGTGCATGAGCGCCTCCATCGCTCGGTTGCATTGGGCACCGTGTTGAGGACGTCAAACGCGACCGCGGCCCGCAGCTCAGCCTCCATCTCGGCGCCCCACTCGCCGGTGGCAAACCGATCGTCAAAGAGCCGCCACAGTAGCAACCGCGACAGCGTCAAATACGTCGGCATCGTCATGAGCATGTTCATGTCCCAGAGGTTGCCATACGGCACACCGTTAATGTCCACCGCAATGCCGAGTGGAATCTCGCGCCCGCCAACCTCCGCTGCCATCGCCCGACACGCGTCGAGCGACGGCGCCTGATACATCCTGCCGCCAAAGTACAAGACCGAGTGGTGGATGGGCACTTCCTGCATTTGGGGCACCAGCTTATACGAGTCGATGATCGGCCACGCGCTCACTTTGGCCCGCACCTTCTCACGCTTGGCCTCGATCTCTCCCAGCGCAGCCTTGTCATCATCAGCCACGGCTGTGAGGTAAGCAGACACATCGTCGAGGACAACAGGAGTCAGAGTCTGAATAAAGTCGTACTCTGCGACCGGCGCCAAACCAAACAGCTCTACAGGCTCACCACCTGGCGAGGGAGCCACACCCGGGCCGAGTGCATCTCCTACCACCGGCATCGTCTTTGGCCACGGCAAACTGCCCGATGGCGTCACGATCATACGGTTGTGATCGTCGCCAGCCAGTGATGTGATAGGCTCGCTGTCTGACAAGGTCGACGGAGCAGAGACTGTTCCAGGGCATGGTTCACAGGCATGCTGCTTGGAGCAGGTCGTCGAGCTGGATGATGATGAGCCACTATGCTCACCCGAGCCAAACAGAGATTCGCCCGAGGTAACAGCACCTTCATACGCGGAGCCCTCTGGCGAGAACAAGCACAGTTGTAAAGAGTAAACAATGACAGCGAGAGAGATTACGACTACCATAGCCACATTCCTCACTTTCCGCTTCATAATCAATACCTGAAGCTCAAGCCAATGGTGAGTATTGCCCCCCTCACACCCACGTCCGCAGAGAGGCCTGGAGTCAAGTGCCAGCGTGAATCAT